AAGCTGCCGCGTAAGGGCCCAGCCCGGCGGCTAGCTCCTGACCAAGGACGTCCGAGTCCCCCCTCTGCTTTCAGGGCGACATGAGCACGGGCCCCCCACCCCCGCGTGCCCTGCCCGTGCTCACCTGCTGGGCAGGGCAGTGGTTCAGCGGGCTGGCGGTGGACAGCTGCCTGCTGAAGCCCGGGTGCGGCTCGGGGCCCGGCGAGAGCGTGAGTGGGCTGACGGGGGGCTGGCGCCGCCGCGGGGGCCCGCTCAGGCTCGCGGTGGAGAGGGAGGGGTTGCTGAGGGAGAAGAGCCGCAGCGAGGGCTGCAGCGGGCTGGCGCCGAGGCTGGCCGCGTGCGGGTGGCTGCTGGGGGAGCAGAGGGCCGTCCTGCCCAGCGCGGCCTGGATGGACGGGTTGCTGCGGGAGGTCTGCAGGCCTGGGGGAAGCCGCGCGTCAGGCACGCGCCGCGGCCAGACCCTCGGTCCCTCGGGGCGGCCAGTGCGTGGGGCGAGGCCCAGGGACCAGGGCGGGGCCTCCAGGTCTCGCTGGGGGGGCCGGGGGCGGGGCAGGTCCCACACCAGGTCCAGCGAGGCCCTGCCGCACACTCCCCATCACCCACTCTGTGGGAGTGGTCAAGGTGCCCTCTGGCACCAGCGGGCACGGTGGGAGAAGCGTGGAGCCGCACCGGGCGGCTGTGAGGGAAGGGCGGTGGGCACGCCTGCCGGACAAGCGCCTGCCGGACACGCCGGCCGGACTCCGCCCAGCGACCAGAGCGCAGCTCAGCAGTGCGGCCCAGCGCCCCCGGCCCCGGAGCCGCCAGGCACTCACCCGGAAAGCTCCGGATGCCCAGGTGAGTCATGGCGGCCGGGAGGTTGCCCACGCTGCTGCCCATGCTCATGCTACCGAAGAGATGGTCGCTGGTGTCCAGGGAGGCGGGCAGCGGCGCTGCGCAGTGCAGGTGGGTCAGGTCCGGCAACGAGCCCCCGGCGCTCAGGGCGCCCAGCAGGGACGGGAGGCCGGTGTTCTGGCCGTTGTGTGGGAGCGGGCTGCAGAGAGGCGAGCGTCGGCGCCTGCACCCTCCGCAGGCCCGCCCCCCCCCGCCCGGGCGGCCCCAGGCCACTTCGGGGCATTTTCCTGACGGGTTAGAACACGCCGCCCCGTGCAAGTGGCAAAGCGCCGCGAGGAGTGCCAGGTGCGGCCCGTCAGGCTCCGCCCTCAGTGCAACCCCCAGCTTCTCCTGGGCGGCGGCCGCGGGCCAGGGGCGGAGGAGCCCGTGAGGTCCAGAGACGCGCGCACACGCGGATGGCCTCCAGGGTGTGCGTTTTGTAAACGTCCGGGAGGGGAGGAGGGGTGCCCCCTCTCGCCAGACTCGAGCTGCCCACGGGGCTGGGCCGGCCGGGCGTGGGCCGAGTGCTGCCTGGGTGGTGCTGGCACGCAGCCCTGGGCCCGCAGGACGCCCCGCGCGGAGCATGGCCGTGCAGCGGCCAGGCCCGGGCTCCTGCTGTGGCTGGTCTCCCAGCAGGCTTGAGGCCACAGGGCCGGCTGCGGCGCTCAGCCCTCGGCTGGCCAACAGCCCGCACCTCCAGGGCCTCCTCTCGGGCCAGCGGCCGCGTCCCCTGTGGGCTCCGGACTCGGTCCTCAGGGGAGCGCGGCCTGGGCTTCAGGCACCGGAGGGCTCAGGGAGCTTCCTGGGGCAGCTGAGCTGGGTGGGAAAGTCGCCGTGGGCAAGGCTCCGGAGGACAGGCGGGCACCGTGTGGCCGGGCATATGCT